AAAATTTGGGATTATGCTACTTAGAATTGGGTTTAGGCAGGTATGGGGGAAGCGGGGACGGGGACAGGGACTAGAAATTTACTCACGGACAAGAATGTGGATGAAAATTATACCCGTTAGCGGAGGTAAACCAAGAATGGACGAAATTTTTTTAAGCGGGTATGGGGATGAAGACTACACTCTCCGCCCCCACTTCGGTCTACTGACATCCCTAGTTAGGGTTAAAGATTATATACCTAGAATTGGGTTAGAGTTGACCTCTCAACCCGCTCAATCCATCCGAGTTGCACCCCTAATACAAACGCATGTACACAAAATAATTTTTGATAAGGACAAAAATATATATATTATATGTTTGTATCATGTTTTACCATATCCTTGAACTTTGTTTCCATCTTATTTATATTTTCTGCCAAATGATTTCTCTATAAAGGCTATGGTGTTTGACTATTTTCTTTGGTTTTGGAGTGAAATTTGAACCTCGTAACAATACAATATAAGTTGATACCTAAATAGCCTTTTAAATACTAAACATAATGAAATAATCAAAAAATTCTTGTCTACAAAACTTCTATCTTTCAAACACACATTTCGGCTTCACGGTACATAAGGTTTAGGACCACTTGTTTTGGTAAAATATAAACAAAGAAAAATTTCATAATTTATTTTTGTAGTCTATATCTGAATTCGTTAATGTAACACCTCAATCCATTTAACAATATTTAGAGTACTAATGACCTCAATAACGAATAAACTAAATGTTCATTAAATATCAAAATTACTAAAACACCTCTAAAATGAATAAAAAATCTCTCGATAATTGTTCAAATTACGACCAGTTCAAATTACAACTAGTCAAAATTTTTCATTCATTGATCAACCCAATTCTCCACCAATTTTTACTCTAAATTCAACCTGCAACTGAGAGGGTAAATGGGGGTGAGCTGGAAAAAGCTTGGTAAGTAATTTAAAACATAATATACGAAGTCAAGATTTTTTTTTCGTCCTTTTATCTTTTTTTTTTTCTTCCACCTCCTTGCTAGGGTTTGAACTCAATGGACTGATTTTATCAACAAAAGAACCTTGGGCTCCAAGACTTATGCATGTTTGGTGACATGTGTCGCCTTCCATGGTGAACACATGTCGCTACATGCTTTAATTCTATTTTTTTTTATCTTATTCTCTTACCTTACTCGATAAAATTTCGATCTCAATAAAATTTTAAAATAAGCAAATCTTTCATAATTAATTTTAACATATCATTTAACCTCAAATCACGTTCACATAGTTTTCAACAATATCATGAGACCCATAAAAAAAAATTAATTATTCAATCACTTTCGAGTCGAGACAATCCACCCCACCTTAAGAATTTCGTCCTCAAAATTTAAAAGTGATAATTTTTTTTTTTTGGCCAGCTTTGATGGATCACCTTCCTTAAATTATCTATGCACCAAAATCAACTAATTCATTACCCACATGTCATCATCCTAAGTAATTAAACATAAGACGGTCTATAGAATCTTATGCCTAAAGTTCTGATACCAAAATTTGTAATACCCCAATCCATTTAGTAATATTCAGAGTACTAATAACCTCAATAACGAATAAACTAAATGTTCATTAAATATCAAAATTACTAAAACACCTCGAAAATGAATAAAGAACCTCTCGATAATTGTACAAATTACAACCAATTCAAATTACAACTAGTCAAAATTTTTCATTCATTGATCAACCCGATTCTCCACCGATTTTTACTCCAAATTCAACCTACAACTGAGAGGGTAATTTATCAACTAACCAATAATCATTCGATGACAAAAGAATTAATACGATAATTTACAGAGTACAAATATATTGAACAAGTCAACGATCTCGAACGTTTGAACAAATTAAATCAACCATGATTGACACGTCAATCCCGACAACAAGCTAGGCATCATTCGGTACATTTTAATTCAATCATATCCACCCCTTAGGGCCACGAACACAAATCACAATCATAACCATGCCACCGAGTATACCTCATTCACGAGTCAAAAAAATCTCAAGTATTTCACCAAAGCAAACATCATAGCGATTAATGACAAGTCAAACAAAATATCAACAATTGAACGAAATATTATTTAGAAACTCAAACTCAAACGATGTCACAATTTGAATACGAATAGGATGATATCAATAAAGTATTCTTTACAAAGAGATTAAAAGAATGCATATTATATATAAATCACTTACCAAATTCATAGTAGACAACAATATCTAACACCCTGAATATCATACTTGAACTTCCATTCGAGCGAATCGGATTCAATTCTCTTGTAAAACTCTGTTCGGATCTCTTTCTCTTTTGTCTTGGCCAGCAACTTCTCATTTTCAAAATTTCCATTTTTTTTCCCTCAAGTTTCTATGCACTTGCTCTTTCCAAAGCACACAGAATATTTGCTCTAACATTCTCTCTACAAGACAGCACACACACTTTCGTTACATGAGTCATAACCTCCACCTCACCATTCTTATCTTCTGATTTTTTTTTCTTCCTTTATCTACTTTTTTTTTTCTTCCACCTCCTTGCTACGGTTTGAACACAATGGACTGATTTTATCAACAAAGGAACCTCGGGCTCCAAGACTTATGCATGTTTGGTGACATGTGTCGCCTTCCATGGTGAACACATGTCACTACATGCTTTAATTCTATTTTTTTTTATTTTATTCTCTTACCTTACTCGATCAAATTTCGATCTCAATAAAATTTTAAAATAAACAAATCTTTCATAATTAATTTTAATATATAATTTGACCTCAAATCACGTTCACATAATTTCAACAATATCACGAGACCCATAAAAAAAATTTAATTATTCAATCACTTTCTAGTCGAGAATCGATCGTCACAGTTAACAATTTAAAATTTAGTACAAAAATTTGATTTGATCTGAAAAATTTAATTAAACAAATTTTAACAAATTATTTCTAAATTTTAAGTATTTTTTAAAATTTATTTTTTTAATATTTATATAGAAATATTTAAATAATTCGAATCGGATATAATTATATTCACATCCAAATTCATAAAATATAATATATTGTATTCGAATTCGAATTATCGATAAAAAAAATATTAATTTATACCCACTTAATCAAATTCAATTTTAAATTCGAATTGAAATTGAATGAGAATTCGACCAATTTGCATTTGGAGTGTAATTTATCATCGGTTAAGAATCAGAAAAAGTATAGGGAGATTTACATTAGGCACCCCCAAAAGGTTTTAAATTCTCAATTCATACCCCAAAAGATTAGAACTTTCATATTGCACACAAATATTTCACGGTGCGAGTAACAGCCACCAAGTATTAGTACTCGCGGTTAGTTAGCAACACTAGAAGGGGGGAAAACCGAGAAAAATAGCAGCAACGAAGAATGAGCAGAAGCGGCAACAGAAGATGACGACCGAAAACGACGAGGTTTCAGAGCTGCTGCGAGCTGCGGAGGATGAAATGCTCCTCAAGCTCAGCGTCGATTCCCACATGTCGCGTGGTTCTTCGAGTCATATAATCGACCCGGATCTCGATCGTCGCTTCCTTGCCCTCAAATCCAAGCCAAAACCATCGAAGATCAAGCCATCAACAAATCCATCAGCAGTTCCTCTACGAAACCCACCACCAGAATTGCCGACAGGTTCGATGAGAGAGAGTGGTGATCATGAGGAGACGAAGGTTGATGATGATGATCTGTTAGCTAGATTTTCTGCTCTCAAGGGCTCGATTCCTTCTTATTTATCATCTTCTGTCGCTTTCAACGATAGTCAGCGGCAATCGAAAGGTGAGGAGAAGGAGGAGGAGAACAGTGATACCGATGAGGTTGAGAAGGTGATTAAGTGGGCTATTGATGCTGCTCGACTTGATCCTTCTCCTCCTTCCGATAATTCTGATAATGATGATAGCGACGATGACGACGACGACGATGACGATGATTGGGTGGTAGATGGGAAAAAGAAGGGTCAACGGAAATGATTTGTAATACGATTACGTAAAATCAACAGGCAAATCTGCAATTAACTGGTACATAATTTGGGTATTTGTTATTATTGTTAAATTTTTATTGTCATACATGATTGAGAATCAGTCTAGTTCATGTGATCATCAGGCTTGGATTTTGATCTTTTGTTCATGATCTAATGAATCTGATTTTTTTTTTTTAATTTTGAAAAGTAATGTTTGTCCAAGTATTTGGTGATTGGTATGCTTTGGGGGTTAAAACTGTTATTGATTGTATTTGGCAAGGTCTTAGCAAGTGGCCTTTGCCTGATAGAAGAAGAAACTATGTATGTTAGTGAGCACAATCATGGGATGAAGCTTAGGAAACCGATAGGCATTTATCACTGTTTAAATTGATTATGGTATATGTGAAGAGTCTACCTCTACCTGGCTTACCTCTCCCCTAATCTGGATATTTATACATATGAAGATAAACTGAATTTATGCCTGTGTAGCATCTGGGTATAGAAGTTCGATGAATTTCTCATGACTAATTTCGAAGTGCCAAGTGCCAAGTGCCAAGTGCCAACAAAAATTGTAAGGCTGGGTTGCGAGGTGATTCTTATTATTGTTGACTAAATTGATTGAAATTGCTCTGAACATGATTAGAGATTGGCACATTTTCATTCCAAACTGCAATCGAAATCTTATATTTATGTTGGCATTTATCTGTTTTTCATGTCAAGTGATTTGTATGGTGTTCACATGGAAATTGCTAATGTTTGAGTATCATAGCACCAGAGAAACAAAATGATGGGGAAAACTGTGAGGATAGTAAGACATAGAGTGCTTAGAGATCTCTGGCGAGCCAGTGAACTTGAATTCCCAACTAACAAGTGTAGTTTGGAAACCTGAGATGTAGTAGCAGGAATACAGGAAGTTGCTGGCACCATATCTTGCTGTATAAAAGGCTGGTTTTTAGGTTGACAACCTTCATCTGAAATGTGGCTGAGAGATGCAAAGAGGAAGCAGCGAAGTTTATGAATGGGTGGTTGCCAATGGTGCAAGGGATTCACGTTTACATCAATGGAATTTCATCCTGTTTTCCCTGTGGTAGACGTTGATCAAGTGAAGTAACTTGTGTTTGTGTGGTTGTGGTGTGAGGGCAATTTCTTTGATGCCCTCATTATATGTTGTATCTATGATTGAGTACTAATTCTTGGTTTCTTGGCTGCGAGCCTCCGTAATATGGGGTATTAGAAAGGGCTTAGTATGGATGATGGACTCTGATCTTTGTTCCCGGAGATCAATTTCACTTCCCTACCTATTGTCCCTTTGAAGACATTCTCTTTTCCATTCATACTTCTAAGTTCTGCAACTCTTAAAATTATGATATTGGCCACCGATTATATGATTTTATACATTTGCCAGCTACTCGTGATTGGACTTGGGTCTCGTCCTCAACCAGAGAGAGAGTCGGCCATGGCTGCCAAGATATTGCCATGTTCTTGAAAATCTTCAGCAAGGACAGGCTGCAGAACAAGCCTGTGGTGAAGGGAAACTCGGTAAATTTCAAAAGATTTTCCTCTGGAAGTGCCAATTTGGACAGCTGATGGCCTATAAGAAATTTGGCGTGTGGGGGTGTTTAGAGGTTACATGATCAATCATGGTCATCCACTTTGGAGTCAATTTCCATATTTGGTGTAGGTGATGGTGTTCTACATTTGGGTATGGCAGCGGTTATATATTTTTTGTGCCAGGTGTCCACCAGTTATGGGATGGGATGTTTGTTTCTTCAAGGTGAGGGTGGGGGTGCTGGTGGGATTGGAGTTGGAGATGGGCACTCTATGAAGTTTTGAAGGGGTGTGGAGTGTGGGGAGGTGAAGCCTATGTGTTGGGATGGGAGGAAGGGATGGATTCGTAGAGATAATTAACCTATAAATTTTGAAAGGCATACGTAAATGGTCTGCCTTTGATTGGTCTGAAGAGGGAATTAGTCAAGGTGTGTACAAGTTGGACTGGACACCTCTAACCATTGAACAAAAAAAAAAAAAAAAGACTAAAGGAGGGTGTAGCTCTAACAATGGAATGAAATAGTAAGACAATCTTTACTCTTCTAAAAAAAAAGATTATTTCCATAATGATTTACATTTTGTTTATAAATTCTTTCAAATATTTGAATTTGAAGAAAATTATCCCCAACTGTCACCAAGTGCAGAGAATTTTTTTTTTTTTTATAATCACCTCTAAAATATATATTTGAGAATGGAATTTATCATTGTTGATTTCCTTTCATGTCGTGGAGACTCCCTAATAGAAGTTAGCAAGTTAATTGTGAATTAATTAAAGTTTCGAAATGGTAAGATCTGAAATAGAGGGGATCCAAATTTTCTCCCCTACTCTATCGGATAATGGGATGGGATCACTTGCTTACAAAAGCGATTTGCACTTGCGAATAGGGATTCGGATCCCCTCTACTTTCTCTTCCCTTCAATTCTCTTCAATGTAGTTCTAGATGAGTGACATGTGTCAGATTTTAGATTTCAATTGACATGATTTTTTCCTTGTGAAATTTTTTTTTAATAATGGTTAACACTCCACCAACAACAAAATGAATAAGGAAACATCTTATCTGAAAACACTATATTACTTATAAATTCAACACATAATGATAAGATGTTTCAATAATTTTAACACAGTGATTAGATTAATTTTGAATTTTTTTTTTGGGTGCAATTGTTATCATTTTTTTTTTTATTATTATTGATTAGCTTGGACTTTGAATTTTTGAGAATTATAAGTTGTCATGCAATTCTGAGCAAATTGGTGATAAGATATAAATAATAACTTAAAGATTTTACTTATGGATTGGATATTTGTACTTTTTGTTTATGTGGAAGTGTTGATGACGATTAGATTGGTTTTGAATATTTTTTTGGTGCAATTGGTTTCACTTATTTTTTTATTAATGATTAGAGTTTTGATTTTTTTTATTTTTTATTTTAAAAACTATAAGTTTTCGTACAGTAGTGATTTATTTTTGATATGAATAATAGTTTGAAAGTTTTATTTATGGATTGTATATTTGTACTTTTTGTTTGCGTGGAAGTGGAGATGGTGATTAGCTTGGCTTTGAATTTTTTTTGTTTTGTGCAATTGATATCACTTGTTTTTATTTATTGGTGATTACTTTGGGTTTTATATATATAAAAAAAAATCAACAATAAATATATTTGTATTCATACCAAAAATTAAATTACAAAGATAGATGAGATAGAAAGGAATTTAAGCACTCATTATAGGAGGGGCGAGTAGTGGTGGGGGTGAGCAGTGGTTGTGGTGGCGAGTGGCAATGGTGGTGGTGGTGGTGGTAGGAGACAGTAATAGTTGTTATGGGTGATGACAACCGATTGTAATGATGGCAGTCGTGGGTGGTAATAATGATGGTAGCAGTGGAGCGGTGGGGGGTGATGGGATAGTGTGGTGGTGGTTGTGGGGATAGTGGTAGGATGGCGGCAGCAATGGTGGTGGTGGTGGTGGGGCGGTGGGAGGGTGGTGGTGGTGGTGGGGATGGTGGATATGGTGGTCGTGGGGCAGGTGGATATGGTGGTCGTGTTGGGGGGTGGGGGACAGTGGTAGTGGTGGTGGTGGTGGTTTTTGTGGCAAATGTGGTGATGTGATGGCGTCAACGGTAATAATGGTGGTGGTGGTAATGGTTGTGGCAGACGTGGTGGTGGTGGGGCAGCGATTGTGGTTGTTGTGGAAGAGGTGGTGGTGGGGTTGTAGCGGTGGTGGTAGTGGTACGGTGGCGACAATGATGGTGATGGTGGGGCAATGGGGATGGTGGTAATGGTGATGGTGGTGGTGGTGGTTGTTGTGACAGAGGTGGTGGTGTGGTGGCACTGACTATAGTGGTGATGGCAGTGATAGTGGTGGTGGGGTAGTTCAAACACTATTTTTTTTTAAAAATACTTATGAAAAATTATAAATTTTAGAATCATTTTTTAAAAATTACCACAAACACATCTTTAGGGGCTTATTTTCTCTATTAAATTTGGGATATTAATATTAGTCATCAGATTAATTTTAAAGTAAAATTTAAATAGATCTCAACCGTGAAAAGTAAAAGTCATTTTTTTTATTTTTTGAGATTTATACTTTATTATTATGCTAGTTATTACCTATGTCTGAAGACACAGAGTAATTAAAAATGGTAAACAATAAACATATTTGTATTCATATTCAAAATTAAATCACAAATATAGAGAAGAAATAAATGAATTTAAATATCAATTTTGTAGTGGGGGTGAGAGGTGGTGTGCGATAGTAGTAGTGGTAGGAGACGGTGATGGTTGTGGTGAGTGGCAATAATCGTGGTGGCCGCGAGGGCGACGACGATGGTGGTGGTGGTGGTAGTGACAACGATGGTGGTGGTGGCAACGACGATGGCGGTGGTGGGGGTGGGGGTGATGGTGGTAGCAACGGTGGTGGTGGTGGTGGCAGCGACGACGACGATGGTGGTGGGCAGTGGCGGTGGTGGTGATAGCGGCGACGACAGTGGTGGCGACAGTGGCAGTGGCTGTGGCGTTGGTGGTGGTGGTCATGTTAATGGCAGTGGTTGGAGGAATGGTGGTGGTAAAAGTAATGGTGGGACGGTTTTAAACATTATTTTTTAAAAATATTTATGAGAAATAATTTCTAAAAGTACTTCTAAAAAATACTTCAAACACAACTTTAAGGCCATATTTTTCCTATTAAATTTAGTGTGTGAATATTAGCTGTCAGATTAATTTTAAAGTAAAATTTAAAACGATCTCAACCGCGAATAGTAAAAGTCATTTTGTTTATTTTTTGAGATTTAAATTGTAAGCTATTTTATTATATAGATTGATATATAATAAAGTATAATACAATTCAAATCTCAAAAGATAAACACAATAACTTTTGTTTTTTGCGGTTCAGATTTTTTTAAATTTTATTTTAAAGTTAATCTCATGGGCTAATATTAACACCCAAAATTTAATAGGAAAAATAAGGGGCCCTAAGGGGTGTGTTTGGAGTGACTTTTTAAAAGTACTTTTAGGAATTATTTTTCATAAGTACTTTAAACAAAAAAAGTGTTTGAAACTGCCCCATTATTACCTCTACCACCGCCGCCGTTGCCGCTGCGGCCACCACCACTGCCACCACCACCGCCACTGCCGCCACCACTACCGTCGCCACCACCACCATCGTCGTCGCCACCGCCACCGCTACCACCATCGCCACCAACACTACCGTCGCCGCCACCACCATCGCTACCGCCGCTGTCGTTGCCACCACTACTGTCACCCACCACAACCTTTACAGCCTCCTATCACCACCACTGTCGTCCACCACCTCTCACCCCCACTACAAAACTGATGCTTAAATTCATTTATCTCTCCTCTATATTTATGATTTGATTTTGAATATGAATACAAATATATTTTTTATTTTTTATTACTCTGTGTCTTCAGACATAGATAATAACTAATATATATATTGGTCAACTTTTACTATTAGAAATTCAACTTAACTTACAAAAGAATATCTACAACCTGAATTTTTTTTTTTTACATTTAAATATTTTCTTATTCTATAAAATAATACAAATATTTGGATGACATTGTCCATTTAGGTATTAGTTGTGGTATTGTGCTACTATTGGTTATGCGGTTAACGGGGTCAATTGTTAACTCATGCAAACCTTGAGTGAAGAAGCACTGAAATAACATACACATTTAACACATAACATTTAGTAATAATAAAATCATTTCAAAGCACCCACAACAAATATTTAATGGTAATCACGCAACAAATTTGTAATATGAATTAAAAAGGACAAATTCATTATTACTTACTTAGTAAAACAGAAAATTCGTTGTGGGTAATTTGGTGATGTTTAGCTCTGTGAAAAAATAGTAATTAAATTGGCAAAAAAAATTACTCAAAATATCACATACATAATAATTAAAATAGATTGACATACCTTTTAAAACCACGTGAGTAAAGAAAATTTCCGTGTTGTTAAAAAATGAGATAGTCGCTGAACCAAATTTTGTTGTCATTTCAATGACATCACAAATAAATAAAAGTAACAAACAAACATATTAAGTATGCCATCAAAATTATAATTAAGAGTATTATAGTACGTAAAAAATATTTGAGAAGATGGGCAGTTTTTTTTTTTTTTTTTTTTTTCAAATTTTGGGGGGGGAGGGGGAGGGAGAATGGAGACTTAAACCTTTGACCTCAACAAAGTAAAACTTTTATAAGATAAGAAGTATCATTGAACCAAATACCCATTGGTGAGAAGATGGGTAGTCGATGATGATTGGCAAGAGCAAGTTTTGAATAAAAATGTGGCAAGTTAATGAATAAAAATTCTACATGTTAATGAACTGAACAATTTTAAAGCTATACAAACCATTCAAAGTCCTTCAAACGGACAATGAGAGACTTGATACCAAGACTAATGGAATAACCAATTTATAATGCCCATGGTTCTGCATTTGAAGAATTTCCTTTAACTTCAGGCTCAAAAAGGAAAATTCAATCCCATGCAGTAAAAATTTAACAGAAAGTCAATAAAATAAATCATGTCCCAGTCAAACATAACAGTGGGAGAGCAAGACACATAGAAAATTAATCAATTTTTCACAAAAAATGCACAAAAGTAACAAAATCAAAACCCAACACTAATTACACACACTCTGCATTTACCAATTATACACTTGCCGATGCATACACACAGATAACACAGAAAAACACACACATAAAGCGCAGAAAAACACACACAAAATGCGCACAAACAAACACACACACACACATATACTGTAATTGAGGCAGAAGAAGAGTAAGAGGCTAATCGCTGGCTTCCACGGTGACCGACATCGGGGTGTGTGTGTTTGTGTTGACTGGTATAGGCAAAGACATAGAGGGAGTGAGAAGGCACGTTAGTGATTTTTTTAGTGTGTGTAATTGTGGGTGAATGAGATGCATTAGATAGGTATGTGAGAGAGACACATAACAAAGAGTGGGAGAGTCTGTTTAAAATTTAAAATGAAAGATAAGAGTATGAGATAGAGAGAGTTACATGAGAGATGAGAATTTTAGAGTTGTAAAAAAAATAAAAGTTCAATTAAAATCATCGAATTAATAATTTTCAAATAATCTAAATCGCGAAAAATTCAAGATAAACAATGTTAATTCCTTTAGTATATTGATTTGTTTTTTTTAGTAATCCAATTATTCCTGTGAAGCATAACAAAACAATACCCGCACTTACACGCACAAGAAAGGTTTTATAGTTTTAACCATAGTTATTGACATCCGCCTGGCCCGATAAGTCAAACCTATACCATAGCCTGGCCGGTTAGCTTTTTGGATAATTTGAGCTTCGGACCCGTCACAAACCTAGCAAAACCGGGTGAGTTTTACAAAATCCATATAGATTGGACGAGTTATTGAAAGTCAGATGGTTCGCCACGTGTGCTATGAAAAGAAATTTTCTTGCCCTAAATTACAATATTTTAAAATCCAGCCCGACTTGACGGGTGACCAAGAAACTCAGAGAACCGCACATTGAACCGGGCCGATTCATCAGTTAGATGTTCAAGAATAAAAATCTGTTCAAAAACCATTCAATTGCACGGTTTTTCGATAAACCGGTGAAACCGGACGGTTACCTTTATACTCTATTTGAGAGAAATGGTAGAAAATATATATTTTATATCATTCAAAGAAAGAAAGTAAAAATGATACAATTTTTTTTCGTTGTGTTTGATTGGATGGATGAACAATAAAAATAATTAATTTTATTTTTGTGCTAATTAAAATTAGGGGTGACAATTAAGTTGTGTCAAATTCGTATTGAGTCAGGTCATTTTCAAGTTTATGTTCAAATATAATCAAGTTCGTTTCATAAAATTCGTATTGAATTCAAATCGCGTTATCGTATTGAATCGAAAATTTTCATCCCTAACTAAGATGAAATTTTTTTTTAATTTAATTTTTTTTTATGTTTAATTTTTATTTTTATAAAAAATTAATGTATAATATATGTATATATCAAAAAATATATAAACAAATAAAATACAATTAAACACAAATAATTAATTTTTTATTCACTTTCTTTTTGATTTAAGAGGGATTAATTTTAATGAGTTGAAAATAAAATTAATCCACCCCCTTTTCCGTTCTTTTTATTTTTTTCTTTATCAAATATGATATTTATTTATATCTCTAATTTTTCATCAATTCATTTTTTTACCCTACCAATAAAGAATATTAAACTGGTAGATCACTGAAAATCATAAATCAGATATTTTTGGGCATTTTTGCCCTAATTCCACAAAACGCCAATCGACTCTCAGCCAGTCGCTCGTCTCTCCCCGTCTCTCGAATGATCATCTCAGGGCAGTCACCATCACGGCACCACCATCGTCAGATTCTCTGAAGCTCTGAACTTGGAACACCAAAGTCTCTACCTCTGCTATATCTCTAGTCTCGGTTCTCTCCTCATCTCATGATCTGACATTATCATCTCTGGTTTGAGATCATCTCTTTCACTCTCTTCTCCGTCTCTCTCACCACTGCCGTTCACCACATCGGAAGCCAGCTGAAAAATTGTAGATTACTTCTCCGTTTTCAATGCCACCATCTTAGAGCACAGTCAAATCTTTGTCTTGTAGTTGGATTGTTTAGCGGGAGAATGGAAGAAAATATAAGAAAGAAAATTTTTTTAGAATTTTAATTTGTTTGGTTAGCCTGAAAAAAAAAATAATAGAAAAAAATAATTTTTTTTATAGTTGAATTTTTTTATAAATAATTAACTTTTTTTTCGTGTCAAAAATACAAAAAAATGTAAAAAAATTGTGATCTATAGCTAATTTTTTATTTTATTCTTATTTTTTTAAAAATATTTTATTAATTATTAATTTTAAAAAATATTTTATTAATTATTAATTTTAAATAACTTTGTTATGATTTTAATTAATCATATAATTTAATCTAAAGATCTTTGTATTGGTGATTTGTGTTGGTGATTATCTTAGAGTTAGAATTATGTTACGAGTCACCTTTTTTTAAAAAGATTTAACGTTAAGTTGTAATTATATATATATATATTTTTTTTTTTTTTTAGACCTATTTAATATATATAATTAAGAGTGATTTACACGATTATAAAAAAAAAATTATATCTTTACTTTTTTTCAAACAATAAAATAAATTTTTTTTTAATACTTTCCTATAAAATATATTTTCTATCAATTTTTTTTTTTTTTCTTTTCTTCCTAACCAAACCGGCGCTTGGAATAGTCGCAAATCGTTAGCACTGAGCACCGAACCCCGATGCTTGCGGAAATTAGAAACTGCACTAATGAAGTTCACTTTAAAACACAGAGGTTATGGATCTTGAGACGAAGCTATATATTGCTGGGTGTTGTAGATACTCTCGTTTACTTAATTTTTCTTGTAATTGATGTTACAATTGGTTAGGATTACCGGATGGATTCTAAATTTCTATTAGTTCTAGGAGACTAGGATTATTTTATTAGTAGAACGAACGAATGTTGTTTTAGAGTCTTTCTTTTAAAACAGGTGGTACCCGTAGCCTTCCCTTTTTTTTTTTTTTCAAGAAGGTTTGTTTGTAATTTGTATTGTTTGGAAATTGGATAGATGTTTGATAATTTTTGCATTTTGATTTGATTTAATGTACATTAAACATGTTACTTTAATTTTTTAGCATTTTTTGTCAGAATTTCTGTAGCATATTTATTGTCATTGATAATTATATATTTATTTTTTTTTATTGTATTACCAATCCGACCAGGTTGAACTAGTGACCCACTAGTCTGATCCCTTTCCTGAGTTGATGTTTGGGCCAGGTTTAAAAACTATGCTAAATTCACAAATCAGGCATCGTCCCACTCTCTCTCATCTGTCTGCTATTGCAATCTCCCACCACCACCTGTTTCTCCTTGCAAGCTTCAGAGGACTGAGAGTTGCAAAGCATAGGGAGCCAAAGGCATAGACCAGAGAGGTAATCTCACTTGGATTTATGCTTCAAATGTTTTTGCCTCCAGATTTGCTTGAAAATTTCTGCAGAATCCGTTGATGCTCCAGATTTGCTTAAAAAGTTAGAATCAATTGCCTTATGTGCATAGTGTGTGGAGTACTGTTTGTGAACATTAATGTGGCTATTGACTATTATTGCAGACTTAGATGCATCCCAACTCATCAAATATGCCAATATATTTAGTTGGATTTTTTTTTTCTATTTTTCTCATCTCTCACATCACGATCCCCAAGATCATTCATAGTAGCGTAAGAAAATCATCTAGGCGATTGTATTGGGAATATTTGAGTCTGTGTATGTATATTTGTTTAGTTTTAAATTTGTACTTCTCCCCTTGTTTTGAAAATATTATAAAGCATGTCCTTAGTTTCAGATTGAACCCCCTATTTTTGGAGAATTTTGAATCTTTGATCTTGGTGTTTATTCATGTTTATGTACACTGGTTATGAAATTTATGATTGGTTATTCCTAATATACTAATTTTTTAGCATAATTAATAATATGACTAATTATTTTTACATTTATAATGTAAGACCGGTTTAACCGATCAACATAATGATTGAACCAGTGATCCATTAACTCGGTCCATTTGCCAGGTTGATATCCAGTCCGGTTTAAATAACTATGGTTTTAACTGTAGAAGTGACTGAATTTTTAGGGTTCCTTATGCAATTACATCTAAAATAACGTCGTGATATGCTAATCTCCCAAACAATAATAGGAATTGTTCAACACTCCAGCGGAAGAAGAGCAACAAACTACAAATGTGAAAGAAACAAAAGGGTACAAACAAACCCCAAAATGCCACCACAATCCCCACCCACCAAACCCATCAAACCCTACTTCTTCTACGGCCACCGCATACCCACCCAGAACCGCCCCACCGTCCATGGTGGCCTCTTCTCCAACCGCCAAACCCTCAACCCAAAGAACCCAACTCACCATCATAAACCAAAGCAACCCTTTGACCTCCAAAAGTGGGACCCAGACTCACCCAAATGCCTCTCACTTCCACCCTCCAAAGACCCATCACACCAATTCTTCTCCATTGCCCAAACTCTCTCTCCGATTGCCCGTTATATTGTTGATGCCCTGAGGAAACACAAGCAATGGGGCCCACCTATTGTTGCTGACCTCAACAAGCTCCGCCGTGTCACCCCGAAGCTCGTTTCCGAGGTCCTCAAGGTCCCACATATAGACCCAAGACTGTCGTCCAAGTTCTTCCACTGGGCAGGTAAAACAAAACGATTATTTCTTGAACAATTATGTCTTTTTATTGGTTTTATTCTAAATTAATATGTGCTTGTTAGCAAATAAGAGGACAAACATGGTTTAGCATGTTACAATCCATATTACTAATTGTTCAGATCGAGCTGGTTTTGAAGCAAAAAGGTTGTAAATATGGTTTTTGTTTGTTACAATATAGTTTTCTTACTGTTGAAATCATTTGGGCAGGTAAGCAAAAAGGTTATAAACACGATTTTGCTTGTTACAATGCATTTGCGTATTGTTTGAATCGAACTAATCAGTTTCGGGCAGCTGATCAAGTACTTGAGTTAATGCACATGCAAGGGAAGCCACCTAGCGAGAAACAATTTGAGATTTTGATTAGAATGCATGCTGATGCTAACAGAGGTCTTAGGGTGTACTATGTGTATGAGAAGATGAAGAAATTTGGGGTGAAACCACGTGTTTTTTTGTATAATAAGATAATGGATGCATTAGTCAAAACAAATCATGTGGATTTGGCAATGTCAGTTTATAATGATTTTAAGGAGGATGGGTTGGTAGAGGAGAGTGTTACCTTTATGATTTTGATAAAGGGATTGTGTAAAGCAGGACAGATGGATGAAGTCTTAGATCTTTTGGGTCGGATGAGGGGGAATTTGTGTAAGCCAGATGTGTTTGCGTACACAGCGATGGTGAGGGCATTGGTCTCTGAGAGGAATTTGGATGGGTGTTTAAGGGTTTGGGAGGAAATGCGAAGGGATAAGATTGAGCCGGATGTTATGGCTTATACCACTCTTGTCACAGGGTTATGCAAAGAGAACTTAGTTGTGAAAGGTTATGAGTTTTTTAAGGAGATGAAAGAGAAAGGGTGTTTAATAGATAGGGCCATTTATGGGTCTTTGATTGAGGCTTTTGTTGCAGATGGGAAGGTTGGTTCTGCTTGTGATTTGCTGAAGGATTTGATGGACTCAGGGTATAGGGCTGACTTGGCAATATATAACTCCCTGATAGAAGGCTTATGTAATGCAAACCGAGTTGATAAAGCTTATAAGCTTTTCCAAGTTTCAATTCAAGAGGATCTCCAACCAGACTTTATGACTGTGAATCCCATGTTGGTGTGTTACGCAGAGTCTAGGAGAATGGATGACTTGCGCAAATTGCTCGTTCAGATGAAGAATTTGGGTTTTAGTGTCAATGGCGATCTCTCGAAATTCTTATCATTTATGGTGGGAAATGATGGTAGAGTCCTGATGGCTTTAGAAGTGTTTGAAGAGTTGAAGGCAAAAGGTTACCAAGATGTTTCGTTCTATAATATTCTTATGGAGGCTTTACACAAGATTGGGGAGGTAAATAAAGCAATATCACTTTTCCATGAATTAAAGGATCTGAACTTTGAACCTGACTCCTTAACCTTCAGCATTGTTATAACATGTTTCATTGAAGTTGGAGATATCCAAGAGGCGTTTGCATGCTATAAGAAAATCAAAGAGATTTCTTCAGTCCCCTCTGTTGCTGCCTATTGTTCTCTTGTTAAAGGACTCTGCAAAATTGGAGAGATTGATGCCGCTATGATGCTCATTCGTGACTGTTTAGCCAATGTTGTCAGTGGACCCATGGGATTTAAATATACACTTACAATTCTCCATGTTTGCAAATCAAACGATGCTGAGAAGGTAATTGGAGTTCTAGATGAGATGATACAACAGGGTTGTCCTCCTGATGATATTATATATTCTGCAATTATCTGTGGCATGTGCAAGCATGGAACAATTGAGGAGGCAAGAAAAATATTTTCAAATATTAGAGAGCGGAAGGTCCTAACTGAAGCCAATTTGATTGTTTACGATGAGAAACTTATTGACCACATGAAGAAGAAAACAGCAGACTTAGTGCTGTGTGGATTAAAATTTTTTGGTTTGGAGTCCAAGTTAAAATCAAAGGGCTGCAAACTTCTGGAAAGTTGAAAAGTGGAATCAGGTAGTGGATCATTTATATGGTATGCAGTTAGAAACTTTTAGCATGCATTTTAATAAAACCTGCTCACTATATCATTATTGGTTGTGGATCTAGCTTGAATCAAATCTATCAAGATTCTGTTTGATCTGATTACGGCTGAATCTTGTAATTTGTTAATTTTGTTGCCCATCAAATATGGGTAAAATAACCATTTTATTAACACTTTTCACTTAAAAATCTGATATGGAATCTCCGCAAAACTCAAGTTTGTCACCATGGTGTTCCCAAAACAAAATGAACTCAGATAGCACTTAGCTTGAATTCAAGATGCTTGATAAATGGAGGCGTCCACAATTCTTATTTTGCATTCATTTTCCTTGTGTTGAGTGTAGAATAGAGAACAGCTTTAACAAAGGATTTTGGTTCTAACTTCTAAAAGCATGCCACTGGGTTTGCTTCCTGCAGAAAATGTCATCTGATATCTTTAAATATATTTGCCAGAGAGTATTCCTCGATTTCAGTAGGGCAGCTGGATACATAGACAAATGAAGTGTCATTTGCTTATCACCTTTGCCATGTAGAGTTGCCTTTTTTTTGCTGAATGATTCTTTGATCTTCACTCTATAAGCATTATCTTTTGTATGAAACAAAAACAACTACAACTACCATGACTGAGGCCGATGGAAAGTATGAGGCCACCTTAATAACAGACAAGTGTGTGTACAACAGAAACATTAGAGAGAGAGAGAGAACGGTGGGGGGAGTTCAATTCAGGAACAAATAAGGCTAAAACTCTGATTTCTGTCAACAATTCAGCAATCCTTGGAATCAAGTAAGAGACAGTTGGTAAACAAGAACTAATTTCGCACTTTCTTCCAGGCTCCAGTATCTAGATATATGTTCATTGTCTCCAGCTTTTTCAGCAACCAAAGGGCTGATGTCATGTTGCTGGCAGCCACCAAACCAGCAATGCTAATTGTTATACTTATGATTGGGATCTGTCCCCTCTAGCAAGACTGTTTCCATAGTGACCATCAGACTGTTTCAGGACTCCGGACCGTATATCCACGGAACCATTTTCTGTTGTTACCCTTGTATATCACTCCTATTTTACTTATGCGCACACACATACACATACAGAGACGCAAGTATATGTAATTTTGTGCAACTTACATTTGGCTACACTGCTTCATAACACTTTAATTGATTTCATTGAAGAGAATGAGATTTTGAATTACTAACCTTTGGTAAATATTGGGTTTAGGCTGGTTCATGAAGGGCTTTGAGAAAACTGGTTTCCTAAGTTTTGTGAAATTTTTATCATTCAATACCTTTTCTGTGCTTTGTTTCTTTTGATGAAGAAATGTGCAATTTGCTGAGTTTGCTCATTGCCAGCCAAAGAGTGACCTTTCTTCTCATTAGTGTAAAACCTCAGATTGTAATGTGTTTCTGAGTTTCTTATGATTTGGAGGATGGGAAATCAATCTGAGCATCCAAAGCGGACCAATAATTAATGCAGCTTTCTACCACTACCATGTCAGTCATATTCTTGTGGCTGTCTAAGCAGTTAAAATGAGTGTCATCCTTGAACAGGAATCTTTTCTTCAGAGCATTGCTTTAATTGGAGCTTTATTGCAGAAAACTTGTATCAACAGCTCAAGATTGTTATCAACAAGCACCAGCTTCAGAGGATTGTGTAGAGCTAGATATGTTTCAATCGAGCAACAGGTTGATTTACTCTAGTTATATCATTTCTGTACCTTTGTTTTGGAGCATTTAGTTGCTGATGTTAATTTGAGTGAGCTTTTGGACAACAGCATATCAAGACAATCTTCATGTGCATCATAGTCAATCACGAAGTGCAGGTATCATTCTTATCACTTTTGCTGTGTTATTTGGTGAATGGGTAACGCTTGAATATCGCACTGACTTTGGTAACTCTTTGTGCTCTTCCAAAGATATACTCCAGATTGGATTGGCCTAAAAGTTACAAGCAACTTCATCCAAACTACAAGTTGCAATGTAAAGTTGGGAAGTTCATTCTACTATTTTCTTTGCATATTTTTATCTATCAACAGTACCGGCTCCCTCTAGTCAAACTCTCAAAACAAAAGCTACATTACATAGATGAAGGTTCAGATTTTCGTCTGCGTCGGTTACAGAAGCGTGGAAGTGCAGGTTCTTCCCCTAAAGAAATGCCAACTTCACCATTTTCCTCTTTCGCTTCTTTCATTGCTTTATTGATTTCAAGCTGATTCATTGAAAAAATGAAATTTATAAACAATGCAACAAGTAACAATATGTACAGAACAAATTCACAAGCGTAACGAAAACATGGCAAACCTTGGAAATTTCACATGAAATCTTCTCTTGTAAAGATAAACAAGATTTGAAGGGGAAAAAAAAAATCATTCATAGAACTCTTGAAGGTATCCATTAGGGGTGTTTAAATTTCCGATTATTTGTAATTTCTTACTCTACTCGACTCTATCTGACACTATTGATTGGCTAGCCAAAAAAATCGGGTAGTAATACGAAAGATTCTTTGGTCTTTCAATTAAATCGGGTAGGAATGCGGAATACCCATCAAATTTTCGTATTCCTACCATACCTTACCCATATATATATATTTATTTATATATATATTCTGTATTCCTACCCTACTCTACATATATTTATTTATTTATAAATTTTTTTTAGTAATTATAAGATTATTTGTGTAGTATAATTTACAACATTGTTATTGTTGTGGATGTTTGATTTGTTAAAACATGGACTTATTTTTTGTGCAGGTTACATGATTTGTAGTAATCTATTGGAACAGTTATGATTTTTGATGTGTTTAATATGGTTTAAACCTAAAATAGTAGTTATTTTATTTGTACAACAATTATGATAGATTGATATTTATGCCTTGGACTTTCTTATGTTTTATTATAATTGTTGTTGTAATTATTTTATGTTTTAGTGTTATTGGTTTATGCTGTTGTTAAAAAGGTGCAAGTTATTTAATTGAATTATTAAAATGATTCAAAAATTAATAATTACAAAAGTGTTCACTCAATTTCTTATCCAACTTCCTACACGATTAATTTGGACAGAAGTCGAGTAAGGTAGGCCAAGAAAAATTTCTTTCGCAAAGTATCATGTAAGAAGACAAACAACCATATTCTCTACCCGTAGGGTACCCATAAAATAATGGCTTCAAAAATCCAACAAATGAACTAGAATTAGGCGTATATTTGGTGAAGCTTTTAAAGGATTTTCAACCACACCCCCCCCCCCCTCCCCACCCACCCACCCAAAAAAAAAAGAAAAATTTTATCGAAAAAGCAAAGTCAAGTTTTACTACTGTTTTGCAAAGAAATGTATTTGTATCTTGTAACATAAGTACATTTATAATGTGCACTTGTTTCCTGTTACAAATGTTATAAAGCACATTACTCTTGTATGGATTTAAAAATTAAAACCATTGATTTCACTGTAGGTTCCAGCATTTATTGAAATTCACTATCTGTTCAATAGTTGAGATTATCAAATCTAATTTTTAAATTTACTTTTTAAGTTCATGTAACATTTCTCTTGAGGAAATGGAGCGAATCAAGAAAAATGCTATGTTAAGTATTTTTTTTTTTTTAAAGGTGTGTGTATTAAATCTCAAAAAATAGTATCTAAAAATAATTTTTAGAAAGAGTTTTAAAAAAATGTTCTTTGTACCGCAAAACTTGTTTAGTTATATATGATTTCAAAAGCAGTTCTATAGAACAAAAAACAAAAAAACATGTTTGGACAAGAAGACAAAAAATAATAAAAACAGGGATGTTTGGATTGACTGTTTCACATGAAAAAATTTCAATTTGTTAAACTTGATAAAAACTAACATAAAATTATCCTAGAGTGCCCAAAAAAAAAATTAATATGAACATTTGTTCTACTCATAAGATCATATTAGAAGTTCTAACATAATACATCCCATTGTTCGTTTATAAGAGTTCTATCAGTGTTATTTAATACGTAAAGGGAATCGAAACGAACTGGTCTCCTGAGAGGTTAGGCGAGAAACGAAGCAAGCGTTTTATCGAAACAAAGCGAACAACATAAAAAATAAACAAATATTTTAGTTTGATACTTTGATTACTTCTAAATATTTAAGTGTTAACTTTACAAATATAAAATATTTAAATGCAATCAAAATAATAAACATCAACATAATTTAAATAGACAAGATATTAAATATTAAATATTATTACATTCTAAAAATAATTAATTGATATAATCACGTCATCTAAATGTAAAGCTAGCAGATATGGGTTCGACCTCTACTGTGATTGATTAATATCACCATTAAACAAGGCACTCAAAAATTGATTAATAAAATAGAGCATATAGAAAATTGATTAATCAATTTGATTGACCAAACAAATTGATTAACAAGAGTATTCACATCAATTCTCATCAAAACAGAGCATTCAATATCATCTAATCATAATAAGACAGATTATCATATGATACTATTAGATGAATCAATCAAATTATTAAAAAAATTGCCAGGTGTTCACTTTTCTTGCCTGCTTCACTACTTCGCTTCGTCGCTTAGGCTCACTTTTTACTCGCTTCGCCTGGGATGTTCAAGGCGCTCGCTTCACTTCACTTCACTTCTCGCCTAGGCTCGTTTTTCACAACACTGAGTTCTACATTATATTACAATGAGAGAGGTGATCATTTCTCCACCATGTTGATCACAAGTAAAAACAGTAAAAACAACAAGCCGAAACACAAAATGATATTACAATCATAACATACACAAATGAGTCAACCCTTACGATCAACAAGGTCCAAGTGGTGTTGGTATTCATTATCACAACCATGTAGTTCATATTATCACATAAAATATCAAATCCAACATAAATAGTGCATTAAGAAGGTGATAAAAAAACAAGTTATGGGTGAACAATATATTAAAAAATATTACATTTTGATGTCTAATATTTGCTAATACTTGAACCAGTGTTTTGAAAAGCTCGCCTAAGCGAGAAGCAAGGCGAGGCGAGCTTATCTCGCCTGGAGCAACCCAGGCGAAGCGAACGTGAGCGAAGCGAGAAAAAAGTGAATAAGCGAAAAAGCGAACACTTTATTATAAGAGGCGATTCTGCTCCCTTTTTTTTTTCTTTTTCTGATCACATGTTAATAGTCAATTTTATTTTTTAATCACTGATGACCTTTTTTTTAGATTATCACTTGTCTATTTTTTATTTTTTTTTGTTGATAAGCAATGTTCCGAACAAAACAAATTTTTTTTTTTCTTATGTTGCTAAATTCATTTAGAATATTTGTGGGATGTAGGAGTCAAGTGACTGCATGGCAAAATTATGATAAAGAAAGGAAGCTGGAGTATCAGGAATGAGGGTAAATAATAGAGTCTTCTACAAAGAAATGTCTCTGATATGTCTTGGTTATACTTTTTCCTTTTCTTATATATATACAAATGGTACCAAAAAATGGTCTATGCTTATACCATGTTTAATTATTTTAGTACATGTGAAATGTGCCGCTGTTCTGCTTTTTTTTATTCAATACATAATTACATATGAAATTGTTTACAATTGATTATGCTCCTGTCATGATCATTGTGCTTCTGTTTTTATTTTAGCTCATTCTGCTTCTATTTTTTTTTGTTGATTCTGTTGCTGTTTCGGTTTTGCTGTGTTGTGCTGCTTCTGTTTTTTTTATCCTCATTCTACTTCTTTTTTTTTTGTTACTGATTCTGCTGCTGTCTTGATTCTGCTTCTTTTCTTGTCCTACCTTGTCAATATGAAAATGTATACAATTGTTAATATTTGTTTGAATTTAAATGTTTAAGTTATGACTGTTGATATTATTAGTGTTTGTTTTAATTTAAATGTTTATGGTTTTACTTGCATTTAAATATTTAATATATATAAAATTAGAACTTAGATTGTTTAGAAGTAATTAAACTAAAATATATATATATTTTTAACTGTTCGCTTTGCTTCGGTAAAGCGTATCGTTTCGCTTCTCGCTTAGGCGTTAGGAGCCTTGGTCGCTTCGGTTCGCT